TCTATATGATGCTTGTGCATGTATAATCTAACATATGCAAAGTTAGTGATGTCACATAAAATAATCAACTGAAGCGTGGTTAATGTTGAACTTCGTATCTTAATTGTTTTCACTGAGAATTGGTGTTCATGAAGGGGCTGGTTCGAAAACCACTAAGGTTGTTACCCAGGTTCTTCACTCCTACCCTTCTAAAAAACATCTTTAATCATTCAGTGAGATATTAAGAAATCATTTACTCAATATTCAAGTAACCTACGTGCTTTTAACTTAAATCTGTTGGCATAGACTATTTGCATTGATCGTACTGATGTGAACAAAGTGAATTAGTAGATCAAGAGGTTGAATATGTTCGCATAAAAACCAATGCACACTTTTTTTTATACATTTAGGTTGTGTGAAATTGGGTGCAAACAAAGTAAAATTACTATATTGTAATACTCGACACTAACCGACAAATTTATGTATGCATAGGCGAACATTCAAAGCACCTGACGTTTGTTCTGTACATCAAATGTATACATAAAAGAGCCCAACCAGGAGATCAAAAATACTAAAATGAATCGAGGACCTATTGTACTGTGTGGGTATTTTCATACTACTCAATAATGTTGAGTAGCAAACGTCATAAGATCGTCTTGTTTCGACTAAATAACAGGAGGAATTACAAAGGAGGATAAATTCTGGGCAGCTATTTCAAAAATCTAGGCGCTTATCTTAATAAGGCTTAATCAGCACAGGGAGAGATGAAGCATCTTACCTATTTGCTGTTTTTTTGATGTCCAATGACTTCATCAACTGACCTGAACAGATATACATGCACCCACTGCAGATATTTTATTGTTGTAAATAAAAATATTTAACGTATACTTCTCAGGAAACTGAGGTTGTTTTTCTCAGGGAGTTTAGAACCTCCAATAAATAATATTTGCAAAGCATTCTTATATTCAGTGTTTAAGCAAGCCGGGTAACATGATCAATCAATTTGAGTCCCACTAAGATTCAACGAATCATGAAGCAGTCGATTCGAGAAAAAGAAATCCATACCAGGACATGAGAATCGATTGACTAAATCCTGGTGATAGGCATCTCTATTTAAACTACGAGGAAAGTTTGGTTACTAGTAACTTTTCTGTATTACTTAGTGCACCAATATTAAATACTGTGGAAATGTATTTCGATTTTCTTGAAACTGTTGACGTATCCTATTGAAGTAAGAATGGAACTTTATTCCCAAGAAATGGTCATCTGTATAGGTGTAAAACTTTGGCACTGTGTTCGAATTTAATTCCAAATTAGATTTGTTTATTTGATTTATAACACATTAATATGATTATGAGCAATAATTTATGCTCCAAACGTCATCAAGTAAACAATACTATATTATTGTGTGTTATAAATCGAATAAACAAATCCAATATGGAAGTGATCATCCGCTTGCTTGTGTTTTGAATAGTTGTGTGAATGCTGGTGGAGGTATAAGTTGTGATATTTTTAACTGTTTCGAAAGCCAGAGCGCCGTATGCTAACCTGGATGGCCCATGTTACTTTCATGACGCCTGCCTCTAAAACGTTAGATGAATGCCTCCGCTCACTGCTATCCACGTAGTTTCCAGTGTTCAGCGAAAACGTCAAGCAGGTAATTCCATAATGCGGTAAAGCGTCCTCAGATGTCATAAAGATCCCCACTCACTGAGTGGAATCATCTTGGAACGCCGGATTCAGTAGGTTGAGTATGTGTTATATGTCATCTGTGCTACAGCTCTCATGCCGTTCGTTTGCCAGTCATGGTTCCGGATAAAAGAAACGGGGAGATGACCAGTGTCTCCCTTGGTCTTTCGAAATTCAGAATGTTTGTGCTTTAGTATCACTTTATGGCTTCTTAGTTAGGGTCTCAGAGATTGGGCACTCACCGACTTGAGATGATTACAGATATACTCATAATAATCGGAAGTTGTGTCGATAATGTTGCAACCTTTTTGTTTCATTCGTTATTGAGGATTCAACTGAAAGTTCCATTAGTTTTTTGACGACCCATCAACCTTCGCACTTCCAATTCCTCCAGTTCTGTTTTGTCAATCCTATTATTTAATTTCGTGTAGAGCACACTGTAGCGTCTATCTTGTTTTCAATAAATAATGTATAATACAAATGAAAAGACGTATATGTTTTTTCAGATTACACAATTTGAATCGCTGATCATCTCCTCTGGCATGTATAAGGCCCCACTAACCGTCGCCAGCTGATATGAGGTCAATTATATAAAATCTAAAAAACGTGGATGAAGTGTTGCCCCTTTAGTATCACTGAAACTCATTCACAAGCAAGTGGAAAACGTGAAAGCGAGTAAAGTACAAGGCATGTTGCAGTGTATGCATATATAAGCCTGCTAAAAACAAATGTGTGACTTATTACACTAAGGGTTTAACAAAACAAGCACTGTTTGCGTGTAGCTATGGTTGCAGACATGTTCTTGAAAGAAATGAAAACAAGTATACACAGTTCATTGTATTCTTAGGTCATGCAAATAAATTAGTAAATAAGTATATGATGTTCGTTTGGTGCAGACATACCATATTATTCAAACGATTCAGCATAATGATACCAGATTACATACTGAAACTGGGCGGAAAACATCCCAAGGAGGTGAATGTAATACATAGGAAGGAATATGTAGCGAAAAAAAATCCACTTACTGTAAACTTAGGGAGATACGGACTGCATCCCCGGGGTGACAGGAATCAGGTGTCGAGTGTTCTCGGTGGTATGGCTGGAGATCAGTCACAATGGTGCAGATGTATTCACTACTTGACATCTTCTGAAGCTTGAATATCCCCTCAAACTATTATCTTAAGATCGCTTATTCTGTCACACAACTTCTTTTACTTTGACATCACCCTTTTCTATCCACTTGTTCTTTGTACACTAATGTTGGTTGTAATGACACGTTCCACTAGAATACTATACGTCACATTACCATGTTGCTGGACAATAGACCCTTTGACTCAAACACGTCTTTGGTCTGTGGATCGTACAAAGACGGTCATACCAACCGATAGAGTTCTTGCATGACGTTCTGTCTGGGGCGCAGTAAACTTTCGCGGAATCAGCGTGGTGTGTTGAACATAGTTAACACATCATTAAGGCTTCTGCAGGTGATTGCTAATTTGGCACCGTTTCGTTCGGGGAGGTACCGTATACAAAAATGAATTGTTATAAGTTGTCAGAAGAAGTTCCTCCCTTCTTTTGAAGGTATCAAAGAAACGACCTGCCTGACCATTCGACTTTGGAAGATATGATAGTGAGATGTAGGTGATAGTGCTATTTGCAAAAATTATCGAATTCATAGGAAGTGAACTGTGTACCGCCATCGGTGACCATAGTTCCTGGTAGTCCTCGATGGCTTAAACCATCTGACAAACATAACAATGTCATCAAACTTGATGGAGGAACTATAGGCACAACCTCTAGCTGTCAACCATTTGATCTTTGAGATTTTTATTTGATAGGTATCCACCTACCTGTGTTCACGTAGCAGATCCTCATGCCCTGAACTTAGTTTTTATGACTATCAAAGTCTTCCAGCAATAGATTATAAGACATTGATTGTTGGACCTTGTACTGCAATCATATCGGGAATACTGACATACTGGAGCACGGACAAGACAAGGTGAAATATCCCAAGTAGAAGGTGGATGTCAAGTTAGTAACAATATGTGCTAAAATAGGCACATGTGAGCGAACTGGAATAATAGCGAGAAAGCCATACTAGTTGATCAGCAGGAAACCAAATGCATCGTTTATCATTGTTATTTAGTCACCAAGATGTGCTACAAAATGTTCAATTCAGCTCTGACATGGTTTTACTGCCTTGACAGGCTACATCATGGAATATATAGGCTAATCTGTGTCGCTGTTGATAAAACTGCATGGTTATCGTCTGCAACGGTAAAATGAATCCTCGTAGCTACGAACAAGCAATTCGCCATTAATCATGTAGTTACTTTTACAGCCTTTTGGTAACAGATTGTGTTCCTCTTTATCAATACGCTATATCTTTATTGTACATGTAGAAGCTACCTACGTTGGTTACGAGTACCAAATCAGTGACCTGAATGTTACAAGTTTCCAAATACTGACGTTTTTTGTAGTATATATCTTCCCAATCGTCACAGACCGTGATCAATAATCTTGTCCGTGTGGTTTACAATGGAAGTTCTATTGGTACTAAAACTGAATAGTAAAAGAACTACGTAGTTAAACCCTTGTGAATTCACTATGCATACAAACATGGCCAGTTCTTGGCATAATTATTTTAAGAATTGAACCTGTAGTTACTTTAGACCGAACGTCACTTTCACTAAACAACGATTAGTGCATATGCCCTACTAATCAAACGATTTCAGATTTGTTTGTTTACTAACATTTGCTATTTCCTTTATAAAAACAAAATGCTCCTTGCTAATAGTAGTCAAGTTGTTTACCCAAACTGACATTAGTCCGTTCGATGCAATTTCTTCGTATGGTCAAATTAGAAAGCCATGACTAAACAGCATTAATCCCACTTCGACCTGACTTATATTACAGAATGTCACATTGACCTAGTTGTTTTTAAACAATTGATGTGTTAGTTATCAACTAAAACGCTCCATCATCATGAAGTGATCACTTTTAAACCATGTAAATGCTCTTAACGAGGTGAAAACTGCTTTCATTCTACTAGTCTGTTATTAAATATACTCACTTTTCAACCACCCTCAACTCAAGTGCTCTGACCTCTTAACCGACAGGCATATATCAAGAACCCAAAACATTTCGCTTCGCGAGACAGTGCTGTTTCCCTTATTCTGACCTCAGTATCTAATGTACGAAAGATTAAAATAAACTCAACTTAGAGAAAAACCATTGGAAGTAATACGCAATGCAGTTGAAATCCAATGGAATTTTGGAAGGTGCTTCCAAAACAGAAATCCCCTGAGTACGAAGGTTGTTAGTAGAAGATCCCTAGGATGTTATTACCTCAAATTCTTTTATTCCCATGCATATTAAAAGCAGCCTTGACAGATTTACTTTAAATCTTTGTCATGTAGAGATCATGCAAACATGTGTTTGCAAAATACAAATGCGCACCTAACCATTAGTTAGGTTTTAATTCTTTTAGATTCTCGTTCATCTGACTGGTGCATAAAGGAGCAAAAATGTGATGTATAACCTGAAAGTTCAGCATCCACCCCCTGAAATTGTCAGCAATGAAAAGTCATCAGCGTTACATATTATAAAAAATGAATAAAAGACACGGAACATAAAATGACAAAATAATTGCAACTACAAGCATTTTAGTTTGCCTCAGGATACTCATTAAGTAAAATGGCATGAATTCTAAAGAACCTGAGTATTAAATGGAGACCGCTTGCGACAAAAATTTGCTGGATTTTGTTTCTCACCATTAAACCACACAACTGCCCACAAAAAATAAAGGAAATTACTCACTGATCTCCATCTAGTATACTGACATAAGGACAATGAAGTAAAGGTGATCTGTTCATAATGAACACCGGAGTAAAACTATGTACAATCATGTATCTAAAGTGTGAAAATGGTGCTCTTCTTGAGCGAATATTATCTTCAAAGTAAAATATGATATTATTCAGCGCATAAGTATTATGGTATACGTATCCAAATAAAATCATTCCATTGAAGTATGTAGTAAGGATGGGAGGTAGTAGAGAAGCATAAAAACATGGTGATAAACTAAAAAATATTCACAAGTAAATTAAGATACAGTGATTATCAGGGGTATAGACAACTGGATAGCCAGTGTCTGAGACAATGGAAATAAAGTTAAACAGCACAGACGCTAGAGTATCTATGCAGTATGCACTGATACATAAACAGCACAACACCAGAAGGAATTCAAAATCCAATAGAAATTAACGACGCAATTCAGAGGGCATACAACGCATATTATACCCTACACTTGTGCCAGGGGTGTTATAGGCATTTGGTTGCGTAGCTGAGTTTCCCGACTGACTAACATATTGGGAATGAAAGGTTGACTGCTGAACTCCTTCACGACTATGTGCATGTGGTAAAACCTGTTGTGACTGTGGCTGTTGAACCGGCATACTGTGGTGATTGTGGTTTCCATATACTTGAGGTGCTGGCAAAGCACGTGAGGCTGTTCCAACAGTATTATCTATTCCTTGACACTCCGTATTGTTTTGATGCTGGTTAGCGCCTTCTTCACATTCTAGATTGGAAATCAGTAGAGATTGATTAGTATTCGATGAATTTGTACCCAGAAGTGCCCAATCATAAACATAGTCCAAGACAAAATTCAGACTTTGAAATAAACGGCGGAAAATTCCCCGTAAGAAATGATATTCTGGAGAACTGTCAAAAGCCAATCCCCGAGCGAAATGCAGATACTTCTCAAACTCTACTGGATAGCCTTTACATAAAGCCTCAGGAGACGTAGCCAATTTTTTTTCATATATGCGTTCATACTTTTGTTTCTTCGTATTTGCCTGTAAAAAATCAAAAACAGTTTGCATGGGCATTGAAAACCTGAAATAAACAAAGACAGATGCAAACATGGTGATGACATAAAGAACTAGGTTCAACGCGTAATGACTTCAACTGTCACATATGATTGCCACCTTAAGCATAATGAATAAATGCATGAATTAAAGATGAACAGACAATAACCGATGTCAACAGATTGAAAAGTAGCTAAATTTAAGACAGAACTTCCAATTTGATAGTCTTGCTTCATAGTGTTGAATGTGTTGCATACTGCCAACATACGCTTTTGATAACCGTTTACATTTACCAACTAAGTCACCCTAGAATAAGACCAATATTTTGCCATTAAAATATTTTCTATCCTTTAGTGGCAAGGGTTTTGGTCATGGAAACGATACCGGAAGCGCTAAGGGTTTCAGACAAAATATACACACAAAGATTATAGTGCAGTTTAGGTTCACACCTAATCTTTTCAATATGTCTAACGACATGGTTGTCATAATGGTGTGAACGGCAAACAACCAAACATCACTAAATTTGTTATTTCACCCCTTTATTCACTATGATTTGATGACCGTAAAATCACTTGATTGAGGAATCGAAATTAAGACCTGATAATTCCGTGGAAAAAAAAACTTCCTAACGAAGCCTGCCTATGGTTTGTACTTTAAAAATGTTAACTGGCTTTCATTTTTGACGTCCTTTGTCAGACCGTTCATCGGTCGATATCACCAATAACTGCTATAACCATCAGTTCTACTACATTAATATTCGTCGTTCGAACGTGAACGTTATGACACATAAAATGAGGGCAGTTATACTTAACTTGACAGTTGTTTGCAGTAAGACGTAGTCAAATGTTAAGCATTTGTAAATTATCACTGTGACGATAAATTTATCATATACCTAATAGGAACTATAGTAAGGATAATTACCTCAGTGAAATGAAATAGATGAGATACTAAACACTTGGTGGCCACATTGTAAAATGATCAACAAAATCCGCTTAGTAATCAGGACTAGATAAAATTGGTGGCTCTCAGACAGACAAACAGGACCAACCTAGAACTTCGCACAAAAGTGTATCGGTACAGGTTGTCACACTTCACAGTAGAATGCAAAGAATAAGTGGATAGGAATGACTGCTATCAAAATCGAAAAAGGTGTACGGGAATAGACGAAATTTTAAAATTAAGGTCAACCGAAACATTCAAGCTTTAAAAGAAATCAAAAACTGAATACATCCGCGTCATTGCGACCGATTTTAAACTATGTCACAAAAAGACTCCTCTACCACTGGTTTCTATTGTCTCAGAGACCCCAACCATGTACTCTACATCTCCCTACACAACTTAAACCAAAAGTCAGGAACTTTAACGACTAGTGCCGCATCCACCTCTAGCCATTCTGAATCCTCTTCTAATTCAACTTCCTCTAGCATGCTACGTAGAGGCAGGCAGTGGCCTAGCATGCGTAGTACATGTTTAAGTCATCTCAGTTACTCAAGGTCCACAAGCTTATCTACCAACTTGCCTAGTGTCCTTCGCTTAACCTCGACATTTCTCACACGGTGATTTCACCGAACACGAGAAAGGCTACGAAGATTCCTGTGGTCAAAAAATTCCAACCGCCTTATAAATACTTTTGACTTTTCCTCGGCTGTATAACAGTACAGAACGGAGCGCAACACAGTATAATCGTCGGATATCTTGACGGTCAGTGGCACAGATGATGCATGTCAGTAACTTCCAAGAGCGGCCTCTGTGTCCAAGCTGAGATTTCGTCAGCAACCAGCCCGTTTTGATTCACGAAACTCCACAAGTAAGTGAAATGATCGATGCACTGAACCACTTCAAACCCTTTCCTTGAGTAAATGCAGACCAGTCTTCAAACATCATCCTATATCTCATGATTGTGGAATGCATACCAAACATACTCAGATTTCTGCCCTCAGAAGATCATGAATCTTTTCAGCGTTTTCGTCTAACAAGACAATATCGTCTGCATACTCCAAGTTAACCAAATGTTTGCCCCTTAAAGAGTACGTCGATCCCTGTGAAGTGAGACGTAACTAAGGTTATTTCCACTAGTACGTCTAATAGACTGGAATGATCTGTGAAATAATTCAACCTGATAGCACTACCTCTGATTCCCAAACACTACTCAGAACCTCCGTTAATCCAATCAGAAACATCATGCCTCGGTCCTTGGAAACTGGGTAGGGAAGCGTCAATTGCTGCTGCTTAGCATCTTTTCAGGTTCGATACAACCTTCTGAACTTCGAGTACACTGGATGACCAACATTTACATTCTATTCATGTTCAGATTGGATGTTAGGTAACTGAAGCGTTGCTGTGAGCCAACTGAACTGTGCTTAAAAGCGTTCCATTCGTTTTAGCCGTCTATCCTTAAAGGTTACTAGGGCACGATCTTCTCTGGTGATGGTTTCACAAAAACACGTCTTCTTCTTCCCAGTATCCCGAATAAGCCTAATTAGGTGGTGGATGTTACTCAAAGCTGATTACTCCCCCATTTCTCTTGCTTTTGCCACCCACCATTGCTCTCGACAGTTGAAAAGACTCTTCGTAAACTCACGTTTAAGATGCTTTCGCTCTTTATTGTGGTCAAAAGCCATCTGAAGTTAGTCTTCTCGCATCACCTAGTTCGTATGTTGTGGAGACCCAATGAAGTTTGCTAACTTTAGGGTGTAGGTGGCTAACTGACTTTACCGCGGTTTCTACAATAGACTTAATATCATGCCAGGTTTCTTCAAGCTGAGCACGGCCACCACGTTCAGATAAACACCTACCGATCTTACTCCTAGATACGTAAAACACATCTTTATCTTCACTTCAGGTATATACAGGCTTCACTGCAGTGTTTCCTGCGACAAATATGGCGAAGACATATATCAACCTGTACTATCATTTGATCAGAGTCCAAACTGGTACTCCAAAAAGAGCCACAATTCTCCAATGATCCTCTCAAACCATGACTTACAGCAATATGATCTATCTCTGTTCATCATTGCTTTCATGTTGGTCGACGCCATATGAGACAAGGTCTCTCCTTATGCCTAAAATTAGTGCTCACCTGAAACAAATGATTGTCGGAACAAATTTAAACAGACGATCACCGTTGTCGCTTCGTTGGCATAGGATTCCGTAAATACATCTAAGATGTCTTGCTGATTGTCTCAGCTTTCCTACTTGAGCGTTAAAGCCACCTGCCATTATGACTACATCTGAACGTTTTGCTTTTCGCAGCAAAATCGACAGCTTCTCGTAGAATTCATCCTTCGCATCATCCAAATATTACTAATGAATATCGACTCGTCTCACGATCCTTCCAAATTCTTGTACATCCATTCAGTCGGAAAGCACATAGATGACTATTGACTAGTGTTCAATGGAAAAGTGCACTTTCTGCCCTACAGCTCAATGCTATTGTTTCACCGGCGAGTTCACGACAGCTAATCACTGTGTCTGCGGATACTCATAAGGTGGAAGTTGAAGATTTACTAATATGACCAGGTGAGGTCAATTCAATAACAATATTCAGGTTCTGTATACCTGTCTCAGAAATACAGAAAACATCCGTAGCTCAAGATTGCAAAGTTTTGGCGAGCGATGCCCGCTGTTCAATTCGACACACCGTCCAGACGTTGAAAGCTCCAACATGTAGTCAGAAGTGGAGTTTTAGGAGACCAGGGATGAGGTTTCGATGGCTTTGACCGTTGGCTATAGTCGTATATTAAGAGGTTAGGGAAGGCGTAAGAGACTTAATATTAGTATCGGATGAGGGTAGAGGGAACAGAGTTGAGGAGGATATGTTACGTTTGATTGCGTTTTGTGTACTTTTGGAAGTGTGCGGGCAGTTGACACTTCTCGGCTGCCCATACTGTGAGAGGACATTTCTACTAAGGTACTCGGAAGAGAAAAGAATCTGTGACTGCACAGCCTATGGGACATTTGCTTGAGGCCTGTCACAGCCTTCCGATGATTGTCAGAGTGATATTTGATTGTTCTAAAGCCGAATACTGAAGATCTATACCGTCGGTACCGGAAAAGTCAGACAGGGAGGAATGTGCTGTTTTCGGGGCCATCATTTTCTAATCTGTAGGGGAGGCAGCATCAGCTTAGAGCTGCTGGTCCTCAAAAATAAACACCTTACCACTGTCACACCTAGCCATCACTACGCCCTCGAACCTCATCATAGAGTAGTAATTCGCACTACAACGGTAACTACTTTTCGTCTTACTATCTAACAGACATTTCTGGAATACGTATTCCATAAAGTGTAGCTCGCTTAGTCATTGCGATATGCAAGTCCGACCAACACTCCAAGGTAGAAGCTAACAGTCAACCAGTCGTATTGTTGGCCGAACGGGATATGACAAAATTAAGGTTTCCCATGGAGAAACCTGCTGTGCCACGAGGATGTTGCCTTTCAGGTGAGAAACAGGGGTTAGACAAATCCGATCTTAAAACTAGCACGCTCCTCCCTACCCTATAGCGTACCGGTGTCGGCAACCTGGGTTCATATTCGGCTTAGAAAGCGACAAACGGAAATCTTAAACTACCAAAGAGGCTGTAAGTGACAAGGCTTAAGAAAGAGGTGCTATGGACTTTGCAGTCACACAGATCTCTTTCAGGTGCCTTAAGAGATAGTCTTTCACGGTATGGGGAACCGGAAAGTGTCAACCACCCTTACAACTCTGTCAGCATTCAAGTCCCATAAGATCATTTGTTTACGTTCAACGTCCTAGCCTATTCTTCCTTTACTTCTTTCGGCCGATAATGCTACATCATAGATATTTTTTCAGCTCGGCAGCTCTTGACAAGGATCCGAATTCACGAAAAAGCATCCATGGCCCACTGAAACTGCACGCGAAACAACATATTGGAGCTTTTAATATCTGCACCCTCCGCTAGCCTAAACTCTAGTAACTCAGTCAATGGATGCGTTGTTTGTGAGACACGTATACAGGACCTGTGTGCGGTTATTCACTTATCCTTATTCCATCAATATAATGAACCCGGGAAATCCACCCTTTGAATTTCTCCAGATTCGAGGGCCAGTCTTCGCTATCTTACAGGCGCTCAAGCAGAAAGTACACAGCCAGACTGGATCACAATCGACACTACTTGACTGTACGGCACAGTGAGGACTAAAAGGAACAGATAAACTCACCGTTGTCTCTTTTTAATTTCTACTTACGCACCCGTTGGCTGCAGTTCAGATGAAGTGAAGGGTAAGTCATAGCGAAAACTGTCTTGCCTGTGAGTGAAAGCTAAGCGTTGAGACGTGGTCGTTGTTACAGGTGATTTCAATGCACAAGTGGGCAGGCTAAGTAAGGTAAAAAGGCATCTAAGTGACTTTCGGAATCCTAGTTGAATGAACAGATACCTGTGATCGCCTACAACATCCGTGCTCAGATAACCACCTACTCCAGGTCAATACGAACTTCAGATATATAGAAACATTATCTGACGTGGCGTCCCCCAACCTCTGCTCAACGGTGGACGCGGATAAACTACACACATCGAGGGAGAGGGTCGGTGAGAGACTACCATTCCTCTTGAAGCACGTTTCGACAGCGACCACACGTTGACTCAAGCGCGTGCATTTCTGTGTATAAATAAGCATAGGAAAATCTTAGCGAAAAGACCACTACGAGTGCAGCTCGACAACAAGAGCAATAACGTTGCTTTTGATGAGAAATTGGTCAGTTATTGGAATAGAACAGCACTCATCCGAAGAAGCTTGGCGAAGTTTCGTATGCAGTAAAAACAGCGATGAAGACTGCAGCTGACTCTCAGAGTAGCTAAAAAGTGCCAGTGGAACTCAGTAGCTTCTTCTGCGTTAATAGAGGGACACAAAGGCATCCCTGCAGGCTCCAAGCACAATGAGGAGCAAGTGTAGCTGAAATCTAGACTGACAAAAATTCTACGTCATGACCGCAGGCGGTCGTGAAGGTTAGAGATGAAAAAGCGGTGACACGTAACAGTAGTCAGCTATCTAAACTCATCAAGGAAACTGGAACAAAAAGGTCAGCAGTTGGCGGGACCATAGGAGACAAGGCTGGGTTGGTGATTCTCTCCCAGAGGCGACGACTGGAACGACAGGTGGAACACTTCAATTAATCTGCAGCTAGTATTTCGTTGCCCACTATCCAGTCGAATGTTAAATGGAACATCCTGATAGAACTCCCGATACTTGCAGAAGTCGAGGAAGTGATAGATAATCTGAACCGATGAAGAGTATCACAACCAGACGGACCAGTACCCGATGTATTCAAGGAAGGTGGTTGAGGTTTATCGAAGAATTAAATGATTTATTTGAGTCAGATATGATCTCTGACTAGTTCTAATCATTGATTGTCCCAGTCTCCCAGAAAGATGAATACTTCTGCGGCAACTATAGAGGAATCACTCTGACGAACATGCTCAAGGTTCTAGATCCCACAGCCATTATGCGTCTGAGTGAAGCTCGGGAACAGCAAACCCGAGAAATTCAGTCAGGTTTTAGGCCTGGCCGTGGGTACATTGGTCAGATATTTATTCTCCACCAGGTTCTGGAACAAAAGGCACGCATACCAAAGCCCGAAGTTAGCTATATTTTTCGATTTGAAGGCATTTGACTTCGTCGATCGAGGTGTCCTATGGTAATGTCTTTCACTGGAAGTGGTATCGAACAAGTACATTACTCTGTTGAAGGCTTTGTACTCGAAAATCTATCAACGTTTAAACCGATGGTAAGTTGTGTACATCGGGTGGCGTCTGTCAAGGATGCCCACTCACTTCATCCGTATTTAACTTTATCACGGACGTACTTATAGAGGTCTTTCTCCTTTAGTTTGACTTCACAGGGATTGATAAAATTACTGGAGAATCCTTGGTAGGTTCAGAGTATGCAGATGGCAGTCTTTAAGTGAAGATGCTGACGGGATAGTCTTCTAGACACCGTCACCCACAAAGTCGAATTGTTCCTCCGGGACTTATCTTCAGTGGTGCCTTGTCTAACAATAGAGTGAAGTGGTCGAGTGCACTGAGCACTTCACCTACCTGAAGTCAGATTAGCCCTGATTGATGAATTCTCCGCATGGATACAAAAGACTTGACTGGCATTTGCTAGCCCACACTACGTCACACCACGATATCCGACTGTTTGTCAGGGGTCTAGTGAACTAAGCGGTCGTTCGTTCTGTATTACTGTATGGTTGTGAAACATGGTCACTACAGGTAGACGATATGAGGTTCCTGGTGTTTGACCACCGCTGCCTTCGTAACATAGGCCATGTCATGGTTTCACTATATCAGTAATGCAGAAGTTAAGCACAGTTTCGTCAAGAGAAAAGTAAATGGATGCGGTTGTGGACCTTCATCAGTTGAGTTGGCTGTCATATCACGCATACTTAGACACCGCCTGCCTAGTTGCGCAATGTGGTGGTCAACCAAGAACGTGGAATTACTGCATGAAGTCTATGACTGTTGGTTTAAGCCACGTAGGGAAATATAGACTAGCCGGTTAGGGTCCGCGTGACAACAGAAATCGAAGGTCGGATATTATAGGTGATATGGTAGAGCATCGACTTTTGGGACAGATACATCCACATATCATTTTCATCTTAGCCGTTATATTGGATTCCGTATTTTCGCATTTATCCTTTCTCTTTCGCTGTTTTGTTATTGACTCATCTTACTGCTTTGTTATCTGATGTGCTGGTACTTGGTGGCAACTTAGATCCTCACACAGTAATGTCCGGTCCTATGTTTATGACGGCTGATGGAATTTTACGAGAACTGGACCATAACGATCCATCTGTCACACGATGTAACTAATTTTTACCAACAGACTTATTTTTAAATATACTACAGTACAAAAATGTACGTTATCTGAAGTAACCAACCAGCGTCATTGAAGCGGTGAATGGTTCATTACTGGGATCCACTCCAGCAGATATTATTATGACCTACCCCAAACAGATATTATTTAAGACAGATGTTTCACCGCAATTCCGTTGATGAGAACTGAGTGAATTATCGTATAATGCTAACCAGTGACATTCTTTGAAATGAATATCCCGAAGTCATAGTGAAGTTCGAGATCAGTGGGCTCAACCAAGTCGGGTATGAAGAAAAATACCTACAGATTGTATTGGATGATGGTTGCGCTATATCACTAATTAACAGAAGTAACGAAACTTGGATCGCTGGATTTCAACCCAGTGGCTGAATATTAACGTGATCACTGCAACCTGGTAGTAGTGGGTCCGACTCTTCACGTGATCGTTTGTGCACTTTCAAGGGGTCATATAATAAGACCAGTCACTGAACGCCCATGTTTTCGATGGGTGCCTAGCTCATATTAGACTGCGAATACAACTGTGACATCGGTGTCAGGGAGAAAGAATGGACTAATAATTACAAAAAATTCGAAAAGGTGTAGTAACTTTGTTTTCCTTGCATTCAAGGGAGGTGCAATATCTGAGAATGCGCATGTAGACCACAAAACAGCCCAAGCTCAGGTCAGTCATATTTACATCATAATTTACAACAATAAACTGATCTTACTGCTCACATCAGTAGGTACATAGAAAGAGGGTAGGTAATTACCAAATCTAAAGATAACCCCGATAATTTAGACTTCAACTGGAACCGTATTTATACCGGCCCATGGGGCCGTCTACTGTGTGTGAGATAGGTTAACTCTAGTGTTTTTAGACTAGACATGCAACGAAATTACTAGAACTAATTTGCTTACGCAAGCAACCAGTATGAAGACTTTTACTTGGGTTTCGGTAGTATTCTGACTTTAGTAATATCTCAGTCACTAGATTCCATATTTTATTTACCAACGAATTTCTACTTAGCTGATTTAGATATGGATTCATCCACATATTACTCAATATGACTAGTACGTTAACTCTTTAACCCTAGACTAATAAACTTGCACCAATTTGAAGCTGAGTCGTTATATACTCAAAACCACTAGCACACCTTTACTCTAGGCAACAAGCCATACCTATTGTATGACTAGTGACGAGACCTGGCCGCCCGAACCTAGGTAAGTAGGGGGGTTTAATCCGGTAACTTATTGGTCTAGTCAACTGCCTAAACCATTAGGCTAAAACTCTACATTTGGAGATATAATCAGTGGGGTCTATGTATTTTGGATTTTTTCTAGCCCATAATGTCTCCTGTTAATGCAAGACAGCTTCAAAGACTTCCACCCTATTCACAGGATGTCAACGTTGAGATGATGCCACTTGAAAAACAGGTGAATCATACGCTAATTATGAAGCACGCTATACATAATTCTAAAAATAACTTAAACACGTTTAAGACTTCATAGTTGTAGAAACGAATTACAATTGATGAAAGTACAAGCATTTGTGGACTTACTTTGAGGCCTTGCCATGGAAGGTGCCCTCTGAGAAAATACATGAAAACATATCCAAGAGATTCAATATCATCCCGTCTAGATTGTTCGATACCAGCATGAGCATTTATGCTAGCATAACGAGCTGTTCCTGTTAAGTTTTTATCATCCCTGTAAGGTATATGGCACTTCGTTCTATGGTCTCTGCAGAAGCGTCAGTAGTTAACCCATCCTTACCTGAACCTTTTAGCCAATCCAAAATCAACAATAAAAACTCTGTTGCAATGAGGACCAATTCCCATCAAGAAGTTGTCTGGCTTAATATCCCTGTGAATTAGACCCCTGTAATGGACGTGTTCGATGCGCCACAGCATCTGCTCAGCTAACGTCAATACTGTCTTCATGGAGAATCTACGTCCACAAAACGTAAATAAGTCCTCCAGACTTGGACCAAGTAAGTCCATAACCATAGCCTTGTAACGATTGCTGACTCCATCCGGTCCGAACCAATAGACTCTTGGTATCCCCACAGACGTCTACGAAAATAACTATGAATCAAAGGATCATGCCTGCAAAACACGGTAAACTCGGCTTTCATATAGCAGTTGAGGGTGTCGAGCTGTTACAGGCTCTAGTTTGATTGCAACCTCATCACCAGTCAGCATGTTTTGCCCAAGATATATATCTCCAAACGAACCACCACCGATTTTGCGCACAAGTCTCCATTTGCCGCCGATCAGTGCATTGGCACTCAAAGATACTTTCCTCGACTCCATTTGCAAAACCGTCTACCTTCCACAGACCGTCCCGTCACCTAAGCTTTGACGCGCAACCTGTCTGTTCAGTTAAACAAGGGTGTACTATCCGACACATGGTGTGATTATAGTGGACTGTTATAAAGAACAACTGTTCATGTCTTCTCTCTTAGTCTTTAGATTTTTTTGAAGAGGAGTACACAGAAAAGTGTATATTTCTTTGGCGGTGGCAGTCGACCCAGTTAGTATGAGAATCTGTAATATGGACACAGGATTCATTTTAGTTTGCGAAAGGGCTTCAAGGCACGAAATTGTTTGTTCGAAGATTTTGGCTTTGACGTTTTATGTTCATTATTTTATGGGAGCTACGAACTTGCTAGTAAGATGAATGAATCTCTTGCTACTACAATCTGATTACATATTTGAAAGTGAATATTAAAGCACTGACCCAATTTTAGTGCGAATGACCAGGTATACGGGTAATAATGGTTTCGAGGAAAGAAGAGGAAAGAGGACTATAGAGAATAATAATGATACCAATAATACTAAGCAAGAAGTACGGCAAACAACTTAGGTGCTAAGGTTGGGCAGCAGAGATAGATAAACGTGTTTTTATTTCTCCCAGCTTATTTTTCTGATACTCCGTATATGCTTTCATGTCTATGCAGGGCTCGCTCAAAGGAGCCAAATGAAAAGACTGTTTCTGCTTCTTTGGTCTTATCTTCCCTGGAAGCGCTTACTCCATGAGATAAGACATTAGATCTAATTGTCATCTTATCCCCGTTGGAGCAGTATATGAGTAGGGTTCCATGATGCTTCCAGTCTTAGGTCAATAATATGGCCCTGTTAGGTGGCCGACTTGATGTACGATTCTTAATCTTTCTTTAAGTCACCTATTTCCTTCGTCAGTTAAATTTGTAAGGGGAAAGTTGTCCCATGTACTGTTAGTATATTTTACCTGTTTGTTCGACAACTGATTTTGCAACTCTCCTCTCCAACTTCCTAAGAATCCTTGTGTTTTTCTCTGACAGAGGGTACCGTCACGTTAAGCACCTCTGAGTATGGCTCAATGAAGATTTCGAAAACCTTGAGGCATAACTTACTTGTAGGGGCCCCATTTTGACTTCTTGGAAAGTACTTAACGGCGTTCTCCTCTACTATCATTCTGGATCCAGTACATACATTATTAAAGGTTCAGGTCTCACTCTATCAATCACCACTAATGAAATTTGTGGGTCACCTGGTAGTTGCCAGTTTCCTTCGTAGTACATTTGCAGAAGTTTTGTTTCCCCTCATGAAGGACTTGATCCTATTTGTTCAACTGAGTAGCTGAAACCGTTAACCACTGAATGGGGGAATCCTAAATTACCCTGGATTGATTTCATTACGGTCTTTGAAGCTTCTTATGCTAGCCTCACATACAACCTTTTCAGCAGATAGCAAACAACCATTTCGAGACTTCATTTGCTCTGAATTTTAAAAAATGGACGCGACCAAACGAACTCCACCTACGAATGCTCGTGAAAATTACAACCTATGCAACAGGTTTACATATATATATATATATATATATATATATATATATATATATATATACTCTCCCTTGGTCACAGCACACCACCATAAAACTGGAATGATGCTACAGACCCTCCTAGTTGTGAAAGGAGATCTGAACAATACCCATCAAGGCATATCATATGCCTTCTAATGTGCTTAGAATTCCAGAAAAAGCTATAAATAAATTTGACAGATATGGCGTGAAAAGTAGCACTCTGATGTCCAGCTCATATAGCCCCTTCTCAACAGTTTTCGCTGTTCGGTAATTCACTCAGTAACAGACAATGAGGTCTATTACGGAACGGTAAACCATAGATGTTTGTCACATAGATTCTGACGTTGTATTGCACCTAGAGTTACAAATGCATATGGAAACTTTTGGGGCCACTAGCAGCGTATCTGCATGTGTCGAAGCGCTTCAAGTGCATAAAGACGAGGAGAAAATATTAACTCTAAACCCTGCCCATGGAAGTGAATGAAGGTCGAGCTACCTCAACACAGCCTCAGATCCATGACATCTCCTCCACATTATTAAACCACTAAGCACCACGAGACTTTTTGCGGTTTATTTTGCTGACCGTATGAAACCGACGAGGCGTAGTGGAGGACGGCGATTTACACATACGCTTACTGGACATCACTACTTAGCTAAGTCAGTCCAAAAATAACGGATGTACAGAAATGCAGCTAAGTGGATGACCGCTGGCAGTAATTCAGCGAAAGGAAACACCAAAAGCACTCACTGAATATCCTCACACTCAAACTTTTTACCACACGGTCACAGAGTTGTGGTGAGTCATGAAGTCGCCTTCAAAACGGTTCAGAAGGTGGTCACTGAGATGATTGACGTCAAAGAAACAAATGTGGAGGTTTAACCTTTTTCTATTTACGGTATCGTTAGCCGATAGGAAACCCAATTGTAAGTTGGAAGTTTTTAGGGTGAGGTGTGCAGGATAAGTCTCTTGTCCTTCTCGACAATTTGGAACACTTGGGAAAAATAGAAAAAGGGTATGAAAACCATTACTGAACTTACAACCGCGAAGTTTTCCCTTTCGTGTAGTTACCAAGTCTTAGAACCGACTTCCAAAGAAGTGGTCTTCACTCCATAAATCGGAATCCCCTGAGGGAGGATTAGACGAGCAGAGATTCACTGGACAAGTACTGGGGTGACCCTCGAATCCAACCGTTCAGGAAAAGGTATGGTTTCTGGTTGTTTTCTATAACGGAACGTTCGATTGAGATTTGGTTGATATAAACGCCCATAATAGTGAAGCTTCAAAGGACATAAACAACCTTTGCACATACTATTGGGGCATCGTCAAGTTCATGCGCTAATCTCATACAGCCTACGGCCATGTATCGTAAAACGCTTGAAGCTTGTCCTACCGAAGTTTAGACCAGTCTTAAGTTCGATTACTGTCCAGGAGTTGGCTCTTTGACCTTCCAAATATGGTGACTGGGTGCTGCCGTTCTGTGAGTGATGACCATAGCCTTTGAAAACCTGCCATTCCTTTTTATCCGATCAACTGGATGACCCCGAACCCATTGTTTGCACCAGCCAATTGAATTAAATAAAGTATGAATGGTTTGCCGTCATCTCAGTAAACCAAGGTTGCCACGGTTGAAGGTGAGGCATATTGGCTTGAAGCTGAATTATGCAGTCTGTAGACGGGCCATTGTTGCGGTGGACGACAGTTAAATTCCGCCACTGTCTTAGACCAGTTACGAGGCCCTGTTTTAATTCATGCACATGAATATATCTCATGGAACCACTGAACTTTGTGTGTAGCTGGAGGAGGCGAAATGACATGTTTCATTCGTGACAAAGCCCTAAGAGTAAACATTAGATTTTTGAATGCCCCAGGTAAATAGGCATTGACCTTCCTATCACATGAATTTTCTCCCCATACTCGAAAGCTTGTTATTTGAAATTATGATGTATCAGTCTTCGTGTATTTTAGAAGTCACAACTTACACTGCGTGGATATATATAGGGATGTTCACTGTGAGTTTTTGGAGTGTAGAAGTGCCCTTTAACGACTGAGTATAAGATTTCCAAGAGAAGTAACAGCGGACTAATAAAGTCACAATTTTCAAAATACACCGCCACCAATGAGTTGGTGGTGAGAGTCAAGTGATGTGTGAATATCGACTAAAACATTCATCGTTGCATTGACCACCAAGAGAGTGTGTGATATTTCCTCCCTGATACTGATACAAAGGCGGTGCAATTTAATTCCCAGCAATGAACCCACAGATTCTTGAAATAACCTGTGTAACGGGAAGGCACTTTTTGTGTACGGGACTTCTGCATGATGGCAATCCATATTTGTGTTTCTCTTCTGCAAACGAACCAATTCCGTCAATTTTTTCACTCTAAGAGCTTGATGTCTTCCGTTTGTTGATGATCAAAAGCGAAATCCCCTGAAACTTGGATCAACTTCTTTAAACGATCCATCATTCTAGAGCTATTGCCATTCTTTATTTATCTAATGAGGTTCACGATGGTCCTACTTCTCTCGCTTATTGTTTCGTGTTAATAAAAAGGTCTATTGGAATCGACTTGAGTTTCTGAGCAGAGGGATTTTCTGCTTCCTTTGTGTAGAATCTCACAAGACGCTGAAGGGACATTTCAAAACCATTTTATTGACCTGTTTCTGTGAAGCAACACCATTCCTAAGGTGCACCATTATCTCAGCTACAACAAACTCAACTCGTATTTTGTGACGGTTGATGCCATGTTGGATTTCAGTGCCCCATTCTCCAGATGATGAAATAACATGCATTACGCTAGTCTCCATCATGATTTGAGTGCTTTAACTTCAGCCGGTAGGTGGTCCTTGACTCCTGGAGTTTTGATCACGTATTGTGTTGTCTGCTCGAATTCTGGGTAGGGCTGAGGATTTAAGTTGTGACGTTTTTCTTCGAATAATTAGTTAATTTATTTGGAGTACTACTAAACTCCCTTACAACAACCTCTGGGACGCCTTCACTGTGAAGAATATGATTCTGAAGTCACTTAGGTCTTTTATCTCATAAACGTAAAATAACCAACGATCGACGAAGTAATAGGACAACAAACGCTCTTCATATTTACATGCTACCTCTCGAGGTGGCGAAACTTCATTGCATTTTAAGACAAAGATCATCAGTCAGTGCAACAAGCAGGGAGTTTAATACAGTTACAGCCAAATTATATTGACTGATTAAAATCAAGAGGCAGTAGTGAAAAAACTTACTGTCCGAGACCGAACTAGGCAAAACTATCAGGAATTTTATCTGGGTTGAAATTTCATATTCAGCTTATTCAGAACTGAAGGGAAACTGTTATTTACCGCAAAAAATAACTATCGGGTCACTCAAATACGCCAAAATTAAAGGCCACTTAGATGTTTAGTACACACTCCACGTCGGTGGAGCTGAAACTGTCTTCAGTCTTTGAATTCAGTGGCCAAAGAAGCTGATTTTAGAATTATGGGTACGAAATACGCGATTACATCACGTATGCACTAAGTGAAAACAAAATTGACCGCCCAACA